ACTAAAATATCTATAGGGATAGAGTAGTAATTAGATTATTCAATAATTTGCATGTATTTACGGTATAAGTTATAAGTACTAAACATTAAGTAAATTATGTTTCTTTTTTTTTTTATTTCTTTTAAATGGTTTTTAATAATTATATATGTGTGTAAAAAGAAAATTAAAAAATGAATAAACGGATTAAACAAAAAAAAAAAATAAATAAATAAAACGGTAAAATTTCAAAGAAAACCTACTAAAAACAATAAAAGATATACAGCGAGAGACTGAAAATTTTTAGGAAAAAAAAATTATTAATTATATATATAAGCATGTCTGTCACCTACACACTAATAATACTTCAGCTAAAAAAAAATGTTTACTTAAAAAGAAGTTCTAAACAAAACATAAATGAATTATGAATTTATTTGTATTTATATATATGCAGAAGTGCCTCATAGCATTTCCTTATTGGGGTCTCTTTGCTTAATTAAATTAGAAACAACTTAACTCGAATGATTTGTCTGGCAATTCATAAAACAAACACACTATTACTCTGATACGAGTCTAATGTTTGTAAAAAGAAAAAAAAAAGATAAGGGAAGAAAGAACCCTAAATAAAAATCTAGTATGGTGTATAAATAGTATCGACTATTAGGGAATATACTAGAAGCGGTAATGCGCGGTCTTGCGGTCTCTTACTTTTCTTTTTCGTTCTAAATAATACACGCGTTATAATGAAACTAAAAAATGTAAGAAAGGTTAATTAGTTTTATGATTCCTTTTGCAACACCCAGAAATACGGATTAGAATTTTTTTTATTTCGTTTTTTTTTTTATTTAATTTGCAATCTATTTAGAAAGATAAGTGACTTAGTGTCTGTTAATTGGAGGATAATTTATTATAAAATAAGATTAAGTTAGATTAAGTTGAGAAAAACTGACAATGAAAAATATGACATTTTCATATATAATCCTCCGTGGGAAAGGGAGAAGAGGCAGACATGAGGGAAAAGGCTCAGAGAACACTTGCTTAAATTTACATTTTAAGTTTTCTCTTTTAACAAAATTGATATCAATGAGTTTTATTGTGCCTTATCTATTGACCCGTGAGAAAGCCACATTTTTTGGCACTAAAAAAAAAAGAAGCGAAAACTACGACAAGAGTCCACATTATCTTCACCGTTACAATATGGCTCTGTAAAGCTTCTTTTTTACGAAAAGATCAAATAAATCTCTTCATATACACTTAGGTCTACATATAAGGTATAGGCTACAATCTTTCCAATGCGTACTTCTAGGTGATACATGTGGAACATAGGGAACACTACTACACTAAAATGTTAGACGCAATTTCTTTCTACACAGTGTGATGATTTTAAAAATATTCTAAAACGAAAAATGTTAAAAGATATATTAAAAAAAAAAAAAGAGGAAAGAAAAAATTATAAAAAAAGTTAAAAAAAACAATTTGATATGTGTATTGTTTACAAATAAAATACAATAATAATAATGATAAAACTAAGCACAAAAACAACAAAAAACTATTGAATCCAATTTATTTAAGTACAAAAGTTAAGAGAAAAAAAATTTTAAACAATAGAGCAAAAATAGATTACAAACAAGATCGAATTCATTCTCTTTACATGAACAGAAAAAAAATTAAAATTCAAAAAGTTGAAGTAATAATAATAAAAATAACTAATAGAAATATAGAAATAAAATTTTTTTTGTTTTTTGTTTTTAATTACAATCTATTTCAAAATAAATAGAAAATAATATGAGAAGGGAAAAAAAGTAAAGAGAAAAAAAAACTACATTTTATTACAAACAAAATGCATCTATGTATATGTGATGAATAATGTTATAAAACATATTATTACACGCAAGGAGAAAACTAACTTAAACAAATTTATTGATGATTTAGTTATGTGAAAAAGTTACTGGTTATGTAAATAATATAATATAAGGAAAATAATATTACAAAAAAAAAAAATAAAAAAATAAAGTTGTGAAAAAATTACAAACTAAGTTTTTCAAAATTCATTTCTTTCTTTTTTTTTTTTAAATTAATAGCTAGCTAATCCAACGTATCTTATTTAGAGTATATAAAAGTAATTAATGAGATTGCTAAGTAAATCGGCAAAGAAGCTATTTTATTTTCCTTTTTTTTTTAAATAATCAAAAGTGGAAAAATGAACATAAAAAAAAAAAAAGCGACTATATAGAAAAGTGTAACAACAACAGGATTTCGAAAAGGTTGTTCGTTTTCAAAACAAAAAACAATGTGTGATTAGAGAGAATTTCTATAAAGCATACAAATTATTAAATTGTAGTGAATGGTTGTGTAGGTATATACATATTGATATATATATATATATATATATGCATAATGTTATATATATATATATATATATACATATATATGTATATATATATGCATAATGTTATATATATATATACATATATTATATAAATGCAAGTCTTTTTTGTTTTACAAATTTCGAATTTCATACAATACAATCCATAGGTAAGATAAGATAAGATAGTAATAGCAGTAGTAATAGTAGTAGTAATAGGTATGCAGTTTTTAAGTTGAATTCAAAAAGTTTTACTAAATTGTGAGGTTATGTTATATGTATTATATAAACAATATTCTTGAAAATGTTTCGAGAATTTTTCAGTTATAAATAATGAAGGAAAAAGAAAGAGGAAAGCCGATATCAATTAATGGCAAGTTTGGGCAACGTAATCATCCAATGAATGTTACAATAATGTGTATAGATTAATCATGTAGAAATTGAAACAATAATAATAAAAGTATGATGTAGAGATTGAAATACAAAAACATAATTGACTTAGTTTTTATTTTAGCAGAGATTTTTTTATAATTTTCTTTCTTTTTTTTTTATTGAATTTATTTGGAATGTTAATTAAAAAAAAAAAAATAATTAAAGAAATATTTGAAGGAATGCCGCAAAAACGATAATAAGACTTTACTCAAGGGATGAAAGTTTTTTTAAAATGTTATATTGTAACTCATAAAGTGTCTAAAATCGTATCTACATTTAAACCCAGTCAATAAAATCATTAGTGGATCGTCTCTTCGGCTATTATAGTCAGCAGCGTAGTCGGGCTTAAAAAACCTAATATTGATCCCTAAGCCATTATTCAATCCTTAGGCTAAACTAATCAGTATACCATGGCTTAAAAAACCTAATAATGATTATCGGATCCGTCATCTAATCGTTTCGTATATGCGCTCTCATAAGCGTATTGTACGCACTGTGATTTAAAAATGTTATTTGCAAGACGTTAAATGTCAGTTTGATAGATTGCTATATCCCACTAAAAAAACGCTTGAATGGAGATTTCTCTTTATTGACCGAATATTTTCAAATTTCAATGTTTATACGCTTTCGTATATATTGGCCGGACAGTAATAAATGTCATGGTCGTCATAAAGATATACCGCTTGCTCTTATCGTCGCGATTCTTTCGCAGGTCCATTCTCATTCTTCATTTTGAATGATGTGTCTAATAGCTACCAGTATCAGATATATTGTTCGATTACGATATTCCAAAGATATGTAAGCAAATCTGCTAGAAATCGATCGTTAACCTAGTACAGTTACAATAATTTGTTGATTCAAAAAGCGTAACTAATAGAATTTTTAAAGTGAATTTTGTTTGCATTTCTTTCACTTTCTTTTCAAATAAATTCCAAATTTGTGTTTTGAAATTTTTCTAACATAGTTTGAATAGTAATTTTTTTTTGATGAAATTTATGTAATTGGCATTTAGAGGTGTGTATTGCGTGATGGGTCTTTAGCTCTTATATGCCGACGTGGGTCAGTTTCCTGCCAACTTCACAAAAACAAATGACTTATGACTGCGAGATGGCATAAAATAAAGCTACTAATCTTAATAAGCATTTTCGGGCACATTCTGCCGTCATGATCGGTCATTTGCGGTTGTTAAGTTAAGTCTTGCAAGCCACACACAAAAGTATGACTCGAAGAAAGTATGATATCGAAGAAAACAGGGTTAAGTCCCGCAAACCATACCATCCATCAAAAGTAGCTCACAACTGTTGTGATGTCTGCATATTTCTGACGTTGTGACCGATCATTCACATAGTCATAGCGCCTCTGAATTGGCATCAATTCGGTTTCCCGCGAACCACGCAGAAAAAATGGCTTATGACAGTTGCATGATGTCTCTGGTGGGGGGTACATTTCGACGTTGTGATCGATCACCTACTAGAGTGGTTTTTATTTTGTCCCAATTGCCGATGACAAATGGTTGTCAAGTTAAGTGTCGCGCAGACCACACAAAAAAAAAGAAAAGGCTTATGTGCGACTGTTGTGACGATTCTGTGTGGCATTGCCCGGAATACGGCTATTAATCTATAAAATTTCATCCTTGACGCTCAAATATTTATTTAATTCTTTTCTTCTCTAACTGCACTGAGAATTTTGAAAAATATTACTTACACCCCTTTTCGAATGGAGGCGAAATTGGAAAGGGGATTAAAGGTCCTAGTCTTTTTTTCCTTTTGAGCAAACTTTTGCGTGGCCTTAAATTTCGAAATTTAAATTAAAGGATTTTTGGTTTCTTTATAGAATAGTTTTTTTTTTCTTTGTTGGTCAATCTCTGCTAAAAGAAAAGTTTAATCAACAATCATGGTGGCGCCGTAGGATGCATGAAAAGAAATTTTCTTTTTCTTGAAGCTAAAAAAAAAAAAAAAATACATAATATATTTTTAAAAAAGAAAAAAATTGTTTTTTTTTTCTTTTGCATTTATCAAATTTAAATTTTGTTTTTTTTTTTTTTTTTTTTAAATATACAGTTAAGTGTTTGTTCGCTTCATTTTTTTTTTCTGCAATTTTCTTTCAATCACAATCGGTGGTTTTTTCAGGGATATTGTTTTAAAATTTCTTTTAAATTTAATTTAACTTTTTAGAAAATTCCTAAAGTGTGTGTTCTTAAGAGTTAATTTTCTTTGTTTCTTTTACGTTTTTTTTTTTTTCTTTTTGTTTTGTGTTTTCCGTTTTTTCTGGAGTGGTAAAAGAAAATATAACCGAAGAAATTAAAAGTGGATAGAGTGAGAGAGACAGGGGGTGAGGGAGTAGGTGTTTTGTGAAGTTTCATGAACTTTTTTCTTTTTCTTTTTTTTTTTTTTTAAACATAAAAATTCAAGCTTAAGAACTATAACTACTTCTTAACTAAAGTGTAACTGCGCGTTTGCTTTATCTTTTTTGTGTTTTTCATAAAATTTATAAATAAGAGAAAAGTAATTAGCAAAGGGGAGAAGGGCGTTCGGTCAATATGAATAAGAGGAACGAGGGGGGAGGATATGGAAGAAGGTTTTATTAGTTTTTTTATTGTTTTCTTCTTCTTCTTCTTCTTTTGTTCTTTTAAAACTTCCTCTAAACAAAATTTGAAGCAACAATTTTTAAATTTACCTTAATTAGCCACACGTTTGATAATTTTATCGTTTTTTTCCATTTTTTTTCTTATTTTTTTTTTCTTTGCTATCATTTCATAGAAAATTGTTGTGTTTTCTTTTGTTGTGTGTGTGTGTATGTGTGTGTGTGGGTGGGTGTTTATATTCAATAGTGAGTAATATGTTCCATTTATTGTTGTTATTTGTTATCTGCTTAAACATACATTCCCATGCCGTACATGGAACTCCAGTCGACACCCTGAAAGCCGGTCATATCGACATTAGCTAACGTATAACTTTGATATGGATTAGCGGCAGCAGCAGCAGCACTCAAGTGATGATTGGTTGACGCGACTAAAGCAGCTTGTTGAGCTGCCGCGGCAGCCAAAGGATTGGTAACGGCACCAGCAGCTCCAGCAGCAGCTGATGTATTACCGGCTGCTGCTAAAGCGGCTGCATTATGCGCTTGAGTGGCAGCTGCTGCTACGGCAGCTGTATTTGTGGCAGCCGAATGCTGTTGGGCAACAGCAGCAGCAGCAGCATTTTGCTGATGTTGCTGTTGAACTGCTGCGGCCGCTTGCTGTTGCTGCTGATGATGATGATGATGTTGAGCAGCTAAAGCATTGGCAGCTGCGGCCGCTGATGCGGGTATGGGATAAGGTGAATAACTGGAATAGAAAACGGAAAAAAGAAAAGCAAATGAGAGGGGGAGGCGAGAAGTAAGAAGATAATATAATTTACTTTTCTTTTTTTTTTTTTTTTTTTTTTTTTGGTTTATTTTACATACCGCACACTGTGTAAGGCTGCTTGGGGATATGTGGTTAGCAATTTGCCAAAACCTCCGGGATTGGCAGCTACAGCAGCTGCGGCTGCCGCATTTTGTACTTGAAATGGATTTTGTGTTATTAAAGCAGCCTGCTGAGCTGCTGCGGCCGCTGCTCCGCTGGCATGCAATTGCAATTGTGTTGGGGTCTGCAACATAGCCAATGGATTCATAGCCGCTGTAACCCCGGCTGCAGTGCGAGCACCCAGCAATTGACCGGGAGGTGTCGGCAATTGCACACCTAATGTACCCAACATAATGCGTTTTTGTAATAGTTGAGCAGCCGGCGTAACTGCTTCCTTCGGTTGAGCTTTCTTGCATTCGACTTTTTTATTCTTAATCGTATGAAAATGTATCTCACAAACTCGATCTACAACATCTTCGTTTTCGAATGTTACAAAACCGAAACCGCGATGACGTTTCGTTTGCTGATCCATCAACATGACGGTCTCCTCAACGTTACCAAATTGATTGAAATAGGCCTTCACCTCTTCGGCGGATGTGTCTTGTGAGACGCCGCCCACAAAAATCTTTTTAGTTTTATTCGATTGCCTTGGTCGATTCTTCGGAGTGGCGTGTTTAGGATCGATTTTTTTGCCATCTAACGTGTGTATCGGCACTTGTAGGACCTTGTCGACACTGCAGGGCTCTTGGAATGTTATGAAACCAAAACCGCGACTACGCTGTTTTTTTTTTTTTTTTTTGAATCAAGTGATTGTTTTTTTTTTTTTTTTGGTAGAATGAAAAGTAAAAGAAAATTAGTACAAATATTTGCGTTTTTTTTCTATTAATTTTTATATATATATATATAAAAAATTAATTCAAACAAATGCAAATTACTAATTAATTTGATTTACGGTTTAATATATAATAATAATAAATAGAAAGAGAGAGTAAAAGAACTTAGTTTTACAAATACATTTCGCACTAATTTCATCAAAATATATATCTTTTACCAGTGAATTTGTTATTAAGAATTTTTTTTTTTTTTTTTTTTACTCTGTTATCAATGCTTTTTAGTTTAAACTTCTGTTTGGAATTGATTATTTCGTGTGAACTCTGAAGAAATAGTTTGGATTTATACTAAGGATTAGAGAAAAACTTTATTTTGATGCCGCACACACTCACACTACAATTATACATAATTATTAGAAGTGCTTCTAACGAATTTTCAATTTCAAGCGGATCAAAAAAAAAAAAAAAACGAAAATAACTAAAGAGCTAAATAAATCCAAATATATATAATCCAATGGATAATCTTTCGAGATTACAATAAAGTAAATAAAGTATAAATACACTTTCTCTAGTTAAGTATTATTTAGTAAAGAATGAAAAAAAAAAAAAAAAAAACAATGAACACATTACGGGGAATAATGGTGAAACAGAATTTGCTTATTGCGTAACTAAACAATCTAAGGGAAACACATTGTGTTAGAAAAAAAAGAAAAGTATTAATTTTTTTTTTTTTTTTTTGTACTGGCAATATGTTTTTTCCTCTTTGTTCTTTTTTATACCCATTACCAAGGGCCGGTTTATAGCTGTCGTTATCGAGTAAGCTCTCGCTTATCGATTCGCTGTAACGGGCACTGCACTAACTTCACAGTCGTCGATAACGGATGAAAAAATTTTCAATGGCAAAATGATTGTCGGGACGTACACGCGACAATGTTCAAATTACAATCGAGTTTACTCGATAACGACAACGACTACTGCTATGAACCGATTCCAGTTATAGTGTGTTAGCCACGACGATGTACATACGCTTATTAAACTGCATTAGAGCAAATATGTGATGAAAAATTACAGCGGTACACTGAAGCAAAAAAACTACAACAATGAATCGGAAAGAAATCTTTGTATTAGTCGCTTAGAGTTAAAGAGGCACTGGAGATAATCGTTAAGGCGTAGAATTGTTTTTCCATTCGGTCGCTCGACACCTATAGGGTACGAGTCGGTTGGAAGGATTACAGATAAGGGATGGAGGGGAAAAGGGACTTACTGTTTTATGTGCTTTCGACTACAAGGTAGAAATATCGCCCACCCTTGGACAGAGCAGGTAAATTGTTCTGAAAGAGGTCAGTCGTCTATCAATGACTTTGCTCGGCTTCCTGGCATGAGAGCTTAAGCCTAAGAAGTGTAAGAAAGGTGAAGGATGGTCCGAGGCTTACGATATGTCCGCTCAGTAATATAGGATTCATCCGTCCGTCTGTTCGTATAAGGGTAAAGTGCGTGAATTGTTTCTAGGTGTAATCGGCTGTGGAGACAAAAAAAATCCAATCTTCTCTAAATGGCAATGAAAAGTGACCCTAAAAATATTAAAATTTGTAGACAATAATTGGACAGACCTAGTGGACTTATAGACATAACACGTTATACAAAAGCCTGACAAGGCGACGTTAATCTAACATCTCAAATACTTAATGATTCCATGATGTTGGTGGCAACCACAGCTATCACTAACCTTCGCTTTCCCAGCAGACGTTATGCAGACGGTAAAAGTTTCAATTCTACGTAGTGCTCTCTCCTTCCCCTATTGTCCGAGTTTCAACAACAGAAGGCATTCAGAGCATTTAAACAATTAAGAGTCATAACGCCGTGTTGCACGGTGTGCGAGAAAATTCAAGTCGTATCCCATTTAACTCTATAATATAATTTGCGCGCGTGTACTTGCAACAGCCGAGCGTTTTTGTGTTGGTCGCACCAACATAGGCCAGTTATACTTCAATTTAGATGTAAATGATGCAAATACTGGCTACAGTGAGGTATTTAGAAAACCTAAAGCTTCGTTCGATACTTGGAATACGTGTTCATTGGGTATTCTTATGTCCAGAACATGTAAGAACGGACACCAACAAAGGACAATGCTTGTTCATCACTTTTCCAGTATGCTAAGCGACAACAGAGCGTTTTGCCTATGGTTAACATAGTTGCTTCATGCATGTGTATAAATAGGTAGGACCTATCAAAGTGGGAATTTGCATTGTTTCTTATTTTCTTCAATACGCGTTTATGCAACCGAGACGTGCCGCAATTGTGAATTTGGGTTACTTATATCTGTCTATTGATTTCATTCTAGCGAGGCAACATTTTTCAGGTCAAAAGAAAGAAAGAGAGAGAGAGAGAGAGAGAGAGAGAGAGAGAGAGAGATCTAACTATTTATTTTGGCATTCTCTACCCGCCTCTCCATCAAGATTGGTCGATCGTATTAAAGGATAATTGTGTTACAGAGACATTAAAAGGCGTTCATGGATTAATTTGATACGTATATTTCTGGTCCCCAATCTCACAAAAGCATATTTGTTCGAAAAGATGACAACTCTAAAAGAATTTCTTCAATAATCTAAAACAAACGTAAAAGATTTTTTTTGAACGACTGGCTACTAATAGATATGCATACCATTAAGATAAAACTTGATGGAGTTTACGCATGATGTGTAGGTGATGGGTATTCAATCAAAATTCGCCCTTAGACGAGATTATAACACCGTTATTGATTATTAGAGCTTTTTCGTGTTAAATCGTCGCAACTATATCTTACCCTACACCACTTGTGAGTAAAAATTGATCTAAACTTGTCTGTCCATCTGGTTGTGTAGCTTATTTAACATACGGGCCGAAATTTGTAAGGTATTTTGATCAAGTTTAATACACTGACGTGTACTATCTCGAAGATGAATGCTCCTGAACATCATTCGGATCGGACAACTTTTCGACTACTGGCCATATAACGCCTGTTATATGAATAACTGTGGAGCGATGTAGAGTATTGAGTGAATGGTGCACCATGGCCATTTATAGTATTATTTTTACTTGTTATACCCTACACCAATTACATGCTACAATGTTATGCGAAGTGTGGATGTATGCGGCATCCAGGAGAACTTAGGAAGAACAGAGCCTTTTGTTATACCAATCGCCTAACTATCTATTTCTGATTTGCTTTAAGCTTGTCTGTTCGTCTGTCAGACAGTCTAGTTGTGTTCAATCAATGATATACTTTAATGAGACTTGGTTACGCGGCCATAAACGCTATCGATGATTGGCTCGGATCGGACAACCTCTCGACCGGTACCCACATAAGAGCTTATTTTGAATAATTACAAGGTGGTGTAGGATGGTATTTAATGGTGGACTCTAGCCCACTATAATGCTTTTACTTGTTTTTATATGTTTTTAAATTTCTTTTTAATTAATGCTACAAAAATGTGTTCGATAGTGTGAGATATACTTTCTCTACCACTGAAGCACATCTAACATGTGCCATTATTAGACATTATATTATTGTTAACTAAAGAATGTATTTAAAAAAAAAAAAAAATATATATATATATATATATATATATATAAAGCATTTTTTTATAGCTTTGTCGTTTTAAGTCGACTTCATCTCAGTGTTCTCTTTGTTAAATATTATTTAGCTAATTTGATTAAATATATAACTAATGT